CCTCGCGAGCCACGTTTTCTCTGTGCACTGCCGCCACCGCCGATGAGTGCGTCCCTTTCCTCCTCCACCTCCTGGAGCAACTTCGACAGGGCCGCGTGCAGCTCGTCGAGGGCGCGGTGTCGACTGACCGTCTCCGCGGATGTTCCCCACAGCGGTGTCATGGACTCCACAAGAGCCGCAATTTTCTGCTGAAATGACGAGGAGGCGGCACTCTGTGGCTCACGGCGTGCAGCATTCGTCGTGTTGTGCGAAGAGGCGCCGCGCCGAATTGTGATGCGCCGCAGCCTTGCTCCGTGGAGGCCATATTCACTGTGCAAGAAGCCACGTAGCTGGGCGATGCAGAGGGCGCCAAAGCACTTCCACAGTTCTTTGTCAATGTCTTTCCCCACCAACACCGGCACTGCCGTCTCGCCACCACTACTTCTTCTTTTGTTACTGCTGGTGCTGCTGCGCGTCTGTCGCTTCTTCGGTTGCAGGAGTGCCAGCTGCGCCTCCACAAAGTCGAGGCAGCTCTGCCCCACCAGATCTATGGCTGCACGGCAGCTCTCTAGCACGTACAGCACATCGCTCTCAAGTGTGTAGGGAATGTACGCCACGACTATCGTCAGGTGTCCTAGGAATGGGAAAGGATTGCGTGCCATCTCTCCAGCACTGCTGCGGTTGCTAATGCTGCTATTATGGTGGCTGTCTTCGTCACCGTACTCGGTGTCATGATGATGATGATGGTGCTGGTGGTCCTGCAGCCACTGCGCCGCGCGCCCCTCCTGGTAAAAATAGCGCAGCAACGACGAGATGAGAACGTCTCGGTGGCGCTTACGCAACGCGGCGAAGAGGTGTGCGTGCACGCACTCCACCGCCTGCGGCCCGGCATCAGCGAGCAGAGCGCTGCGCAGCACGTCCACCCCACAGGCATCGTGCAGATCGAAAGCCTTGACGATGCCCGTAGCAGCGCTGGCCGAAACAACGTCAGCGTAGCGCTCGCTGAGCACGGCCACGCACTCTATGGCAGCCAGCCGCACCACCTCGCTTTGCGGATCCGCCGCAAGTGCCGTCAAGGTACCAGCGTATCTAGACGGCGGCAGCAGCCCGCCCTGCGTGCACAACTGCATCACCTCAAGTGCGAGCTGCCGCACCGGCAGGGAGCTGCTCTCGCACAGCCGCAGCACCTCCCCGTGAAACTGCTGCATGACCCAGGTCGCCATGCCACTGTTCTGCTCATCCACACACGGGGCGATGTCGACGTGCAGCTCCTCATGCCGTCGACGCTTTCGCTTCGACGGTGAAGAAGATGGCGCCGCTACAGTAGATGGCAACGGCACGGGGGCGTTCATCGCCGCCGCGTAGTCCACGCGCGCGTCCTCATCCATGAGGAAGTCACGGATGAGGACGAGGCCTTGCGTCTGCATGGACACATCACCGGCGGGGTCAAGGGCGCGGTGCAGGTGCGGTTCGCAACGGTGAAAAAAGACGGTTGGCTGCAGCATGCACAGCGACGCCAGCACACGCAGCACAATTACGGCCGTCCGCTTCCGCGCCTCCTCAGGGCACTGCTGCAGCACCTTCTCGGCCGCCGCGTAGACATTCGCGCAGATGCCATCGCCACACGCCAGCTGGTTCGGCACACCCGCCCCGCCCGCCACCGCCGCGTCCTCAGTAAGCCCCGGGTGCTCATGCTTCCACCCCGGATACAGCCGCAGGAACTCAGAGAGGAGAAACAGAAAGCGCAGAGTGTAGGCGATGCTCTGTGGATCCGTGCGGAGCGATGCGACGAGGCCCAAGGTGCGCACATAGTACGTGTTCATAAGAGAGTAGCACAGCATTAGATACTTGCTGTTCGCGTTCTTCGAGAGCCGGTCGGTACCACATGTAATGGTCGCCACAAGCACGCCGCTGGCTGAGAGTAGGATGTGGTGCTGGTGTGGTCCAACGTAGCGCGACAGCAGCGCCGTGAGGGCGCGTACCAGTGGGTGCAGTGAGAGCGGCGGTGGACGTGGCGCCAGCAGCACCGTCCGTAGAATACGGCACACGTGTAACAGCGTGACGCCAGTCGCTTCCTTATCCGACACAGAGGCCGTCGGTTGTTGCTGCTGCGCGAGTGCCTGAGCAAGCACCTCCAGAAGCGGTTCTACCCACTCGCTACAGGCCATCGTCAGAGCGTGGATGGCGGCCAGTGCAGAAGCGGCTTCTGGAGCCGGTGTGAGGCGTTGTTGCTCCGCCCACAGAACCTTGGCTGCGCCCATCATGACGCCACTCAGCTCCTGGCTGTCTGCCTCCGCCTGCCGCGATGTACGCTTGGCTGTGGCGTGTGCTGTTGCTGCTGTAGCCACACGGCACATCCCACGCAACAGCACAACAAGATGCATCGACTCGTTCACCTCGTAGGGGTACGCCATACTGCTAAGGGTGAGCCGCATTAGCTCCCGCGCCACGCGTGTGTGGGCGTGGTGGGCTGCGATGTCCGTCGGCTCCTGCCCAGCCCAGCGCCGCAGGAATAGCCGCATGACATCCGTCTGATGTCGGCTCTCCTTCGCGGGGCTCATAATTGGGAGGAGCTTCGACTGCGTGAACGTCAACAGGTGCTCGCCAGCGGGCGTCGTCTCCAGCAGCGGCCTGAAAAGCGCATCGGTGAGGAGGGTGTCAAGGGCTGCGATGGCGCGCGTAACGACGACCACACTGCGGTCACTGAGGAGATGCAGCAGTGAACTGACGACATCCGCAGCCGTCTCGTTAACGCGAGTGGTGAGGCCATGGCTCCTGCACGTTTCGGATAGAAGTGTAAGTAGCAGTGGAATGATTGCCTCCCGCACACGCGCGTTGTCGTCGCGCACGCAGCGGCGAACGATGGGCCAAATCCTCTCTAGTAGCGGCGGGTGCAGCGCGGTGAGTTTCGCCACATGGCCAATCGCCTTCTTACGCGCGACGTCAAGCCCTGCGGTGTGCTGCTGCTCCTCACGCGCCTGGAACACCGACAGCAGCCACGCCGGCAGCCGCTCCTTCGCCATGGGGCTCAGCAACGACTTATCACACGACGCGCAGAGCTGTGCGCTGCAGGCGTGCAGCACATCCCAGCCGAGCGACACGCCGCCGTCGGCAGCGTGCATCGTGCGCACCAGTGGGTCGAGCGCGGCCTCATGTAGACAGTCGTCTTGCAAAGCCCATGTGAAGATGTGTGCGGCGCGTGTGTGGAATGACGCAGCGGCCGCGTCGCGCGCAGGGTCCGCCACGCAGCGAGAAAGGGCCATGTACAACACCGCACGTCGGATCTCCTCAGTGTGCAGCTGTTCCTGCTCCTGCTCCCTCCTCCCCTCTGTTGCTGCCCCAGTGTCGGTGGAGGTGAGTTGGCGCCACTGCTGTAGTTGGGCTGCATTTAGCACGCAGGATGCCGGCAGCGTTGATCGCTGCAAGTTCTGCTGCGCCGCGCCAAAGAGAACATACGAGACGCGGAAAACAGCATCCACGAAAAGTGGTCGAAGTCCCTCCATTGAAGACATGCGAGAGAAACACTGCACAAATGAGACGAGCAGTGAGCGCAGAAGTAAGTCCGCAGCTGGGTACTCCGGCAATCCAATCATATGAGACAAATCCTCACATAATTGAAGCACGACGGTACAACACATGTCACGCTCCTTCTTTTCCTCACGCTCTTCAAGTGCAAAGTGCTGGAGGAACAGCGTCGCCCATACGCTACACTGCTGCTGCAGCCGCTCTGCAGCTCCCCGTGTTACACTACCGGCGCAGACAGGTGTCGACTGCGCCGCGGCCACCACAGCCGCCGTAAGCGTCATTGTCTTCACCCCCGACGGGAGCAGGTAGAGCCGCAGCAGCAGATGATCGCCGTGCGGCAGCCGTGGGAAAAATCTCTCCAGCGTCGCGTCGCGTTCCAGCTCCAGCCGGTTCCAGAGGCAGCGGTAGAGGTGCACCGCGTGGCTTATCACATACGCAGCATAGTCCGTCACCTCCTGTCGTCCGAAGCCTTTGGCCACAACAAAGAGACACTGAAAGCAAAGATCCTCCAGTCGCAGCAGGTCGCCGTGTGCGCACACACTCAGCCGCGTGTCGCACACCAGTATTGCAAAGCACCTCAGCATGGCCCGGAGACACTCCAGATCCGCATTGCTACTCACGTTGTTGTTGTTGATTGTGACAGCGGCTGCAGTCGCAGTCCCATGGCCTGCCAGCCGCTTCGAAACGCGCCGGACAACAGCAGCGAGGATGGTGATTAGGTGATCAACAATGTCCTCCGGTAGAATCGACGGTTCAAAGGACGGGTGGGAAACGCACGCACAGCACGCCACCGCCCGCTCCATCACCGCAGCAGGGAGCTCCGCTGTCTCAGCGGCTGGTGGCTCTGCTAACGCCGATACAAACGCCGTGAGACGATCAGCCTGGATACCCCTGAACGGCTGCGCGGTGCCAGCAAGCATGCCGAGGAATCTGTTGACCGAGTCTGTGTCTGACAATCCCTCCTTAATGATGGCCGACATAGGTATTTCGCAGTAAGGCTCCATCTTGCTTTGTGCAGTGGAGAGTTCAGTGTCTTGCAGCACTACTTGCAGCACAGGCCCTGGTTTCTTCACTTCGTGTATGGGCAACCCCGTCTCGACGGCCTGCGCGGCACTACGCGGGCGCAGAGCCATGCGTGACTCTGTGCTGCGCATCCACCGCTCGTGTTTAGGTGGGGTTGAAACAGTCTTCGCACCGCTGATGCTGTGAAGACGATCCTCCTCCATCTGCAGCAGCTCCTCGTGAATACGCTGTGCCAGTGGAGAAAGTTGGGGCACACTGCCACCGTTACTACCACTGCTGCCGCTGCTACTGCTGTTGTTAGCAACGCTTCCGCCAGCGTCGTCAGCGGCGCGGCAGAGCGCAATGTAGCTATTCGATGCCATGAGTGTGCGAGCGGACTCCAGAACGGATTTCTCAACACGTTCGTCCGACACGCTTTTCCTGCTGCACGCCGTGCCGTCGCGCAGTAGCAGCGTTGACGTGGTCAGCAGCTGCGGCACCGGGAACGCAGTCAGGAGTTCTAGAAGCGGATCAACAGTGATCGATACCTCCGGCGGGAGCGGCACCGCAGTGTGTTGCGTGGAAGACATGAAGGAATACGTTATTTCTCTCTATTTTCTGTTCGTTTTGATTCCCTCCTATCCTCTTGCACCACATCGAATAGGTTTCGGCAAAAACGAATACAGGAGTAACAGTAGCCATAGCCATAACAGCAGTGGTAAGAAAAAGAGGAAGAAGAGGAGGAACGCAGCATGTGGAGAAAAAGGAAATGGTGCATACAGAATGCGCACCACCACCACCACCACCACCACCACCACACACACACACACGCATACACCGAAAGAAACAGGCGTGAATTACAACGGAGCAGAGGTGAATTGCCTCGACAGAAAGAACTTTCATGTCAATCACTGCGGCAACGGTCAAACACTACACACACACAAAAAAAGCGGGCCTACCCGGACACCAGCGGGTTCATGGCGCAGGTGTCCTGGAGAATACTGCTTGCAGCAGCACGCAACTCCTCGTCCGCCGTCGGGTTCGTTGCGCAGAGACGCTGCAGGAACTCCTTGACAGCGGATCGCAGCTTTTCGTCCGTCCCGGTGGGAATGCGTGGCAGCATCCCGCGCTCGTGCCACACGGCGACAACGGGGATGACCTCCCCCACCATCCGCGGCGCAAGGAACTCCGGCGTGAGCGCATAGAGCGCCGCCAGGCCGCCAAGGACATCTGGTACGGCCGGCGTGGGTCGAACACTCTCCAGCGCGCGCCGCCTTTGTGCCGAGCGCCGCTGTGACGTGCCGGTGGTGACAAAGGCGGCGACCGGCTCCGTGAGGATCGCCATGAAGACAAGGTACGTCTGGTACACCGTCCGAAGGTGGCTGCGCGGCAGCACCGCGGCGGCGTTGTCGTCCCACACGAACGACGGGGGACTCGACGGTGGAGACGATATTGCCTCGTCTCCGTGCTCTTCCTCCCGCTGCCACTCTGCGGCCGCTGATGTGGTAAGGAGCACCGTCAGCCCGCTCGTCATGGCTCGTATCGCGAAAGGCGCCACCGCATCGTGCCGGGCGCAGTGCCCCAACAGCAGGTGCACCATCCCCAGGACGTTGAGCTGGAGGAGCTGAACGCGGGGCTCCGCGGCGGTAGTCATGACATCTCTCTCATCATCAATACCGAGCTGCGGGACAGATCGGTTAAGTGCTGCACCCACAATGAAACACTGGGCGAGCAGCATGAGAGAGGCTAGGGCATCGGCCTTTTCTTCCTCCAGTACGGCGCGGCGGCATGCGTCACCGGCGATTTTAATGGTGGAGACCAAGAAATCGGCGACCTTTGGCACAGCGCCAGCAGCAATAGCAGAACTAAGCACCGTAGTACTAGCAAAGCCACAGCTGCGAGCGATTTCCACCGTCTTCAGCGGGGCCAGCGTGCCAAAGTCTGCGTTTCGGAGGCCTGGCATAAGCTTCTTCTGAATAAAAGAGGTACTGCTCATCAGCACACGCAACGCTGACGAGCGAAGCGTGTCCTCCGTCACTGCACGTGTGGCCTCGTCAATGATGAAGTTGACTTGGTCAAGAAAAAAGGTGACCACGTCCTTGTAGCGTCCCGCAGCACTAAATGCATCCAGGGCACGCAAGGCAGCATCATGCACGATGCCCGGGCACGTGGCCTTCTCCAGCACGAGGTACAGCACGAGCACGTTGAGCCTCTGCACTGCTCGTTTGTGTTTCACCTTGTGGCCCGCCACACCGTCACGTAGCACCTGTGCAGTTAGCTCGAGGAAGCGGAGAATCGTAGCGGCAACGGTGTGGCGGTGCTGCAGCTGCTGGTGCGAGCAGAGCTTCTCGTCTTCGCAGATGTTCCAGAGGTGTGGCTGTGCCACGACGCTCCAGAGCCGCTCAAAGACGCCAGATAGCATCACCTCCTCCACCGGGGTTCCCTTCTCTGTGGCCCACGCGGAAGTTGTATACTGCCACAGAAAAAATCGTGTGACGACGTAGATTGTGGGCGGGTGCAGCATGTAGGCGTCCCAGTCTGCCAGCACCCCAGCTGCGGTGTCCATGATCTTCGCCATCATCTGGGGTCCCTCGTCCCAGTGCGCCACTGCAATGGCGGCGCACTCAATACACGCGTCCACGACGCGCGACGCGTAGCTGCGCGTTGCCTTCACGCTGTACAGCTCTTCGGGTTCCATCACCGCGCCTGCGACTTGCACACATTGAGACAACACACGGCTTATGTAGGACTCATTGCCAAGTACCACAGCACGTGTGTCATTGCACCGTAGCAGCGCCGACGCATAGTGAAGCAGTTGCACGCCCCGCAACTGCGCAAGCTGCGTCTGCAAAACTTTGACCACCGCCGCTTGTTGTAAGAATGAACTCGGTATCCCGTCACTATCAACATCAGCGTCACCACTAAGAATAAATGTTATGTTTTTCAGGATGAAGTTGGCCACTAACAACAACTGCACAAACGGTGATGACAAAAACGCACCGAGAGCAGGGAGGAGCAGCACGTCGGTAGTGAGTAGCTGCAACGCCTGCACCACTGAGAGCGGGAACCCATCGCGCGTCAGCTCTCCGGGGTTCAGCAGCTTGTCCATGCTGCGCCCCAAATGGCCCACTGTCTCACGCAGCCAATCACCCTCACCACCTTGTACCCCAAGAGAAACCACCAGCGCCAAGCGCAGCAATTCAATCGCCCCAGTGCTTACAGCAACAGCGTCTGTACCTTTGGGGGCTCGTAACAAATATTTTACACACGCCAATATTATGCCGGGAAGGCAGCATCTTGTGTTCTTCCACCCAATAGCCTCTACCACCGCCACACACGCGCTAAGGCTCTCTAGCTGAAGCGTTTGAAACCAATGTTGCTTGTCACCCGCTAGCGCGCCCAACATTTCTTGCAGGAAAAATGCAGCACTTGGGTGGTATTCGTCACTCTCAAAATACGCCTTATGACGCTCTCTCCCTACGCTGTGAAGTGTACACACCGCACGTACAGCCAGCACCTTCTCTTCCTCCCTGGAGGCCAAGGACGCAGCTCCACGCCGGAATGAGGGTGATGGTAGCTCGTCTGCCCTGAACAACTCCACAAACCTCCCTTGAAGGATGAGGGTCACCTCTTTAATGTCCTTGAGGTGGTTGGCGTGCCCCACTATATGTAAGAATGCCTTATCGCTTTCAAGGCTCATGATGTCTGCACGTTTCGTGTAGTAGATGCCACCCTATTGTTATACAGCCCTCGTGCAGAACTCCTTATGCAAGCAGATGAAGTACACATGGAACCACAAGCAAAAAAAAAAAAGGAAGGTTAGGTGCGCAGGAGGTTTTTTTTTAAAAGAACAATTCAAAGGTATGCCTACAACACAGGCAAGTTCAACAACATGGCAAAGTCGGGTTTCCTTTGCTGTAGCCTTTTTTTTTTGCTCTTCTCCTCCCCACGACACGACAACACAACCAACCACATACACATTCGACAAATTCCTCTTAGAAGAGATCGTCGTAGTCGTCGACAGCGTACCCGAAGAATTTTGGTGTCTCGTCGTACAAAGCGCTGAAGTAATGCACGTAGTGGCTTTCAATCCTTCGGCGCGAAAATCCGTATTTGCATGTGATGAAACCGTTCGCGAGGGTGCATTCCTCTATGAAGGCAAACCGACGGACGTGTGCACGTGACGGCAAGCCCTGTGACGCGCGCCGAAGTTCAGCACGAATACAATCCGCCTTCTCACGCTCGCTCACGATAGGTACACCGTCGCGCCGCTCCACTTTTCGCAGGTGTGAAGCAATGGCTTTCGCGTTTGGCACCACCAGCGCGGTAAGATAGGGACGGTTGTTGCCGTGTACAAAGATCTGCTTGATGAAGGGACTTTTGATGAGTGTCGCCTCCACCTCCAGTGGGTCCACCACTGCGCCGTTGGTGAGAGTAATGAGGATATCCTTGCTTCCCTTGATCGTCATCCAGCCGCCTGTCACCGAGCCGTAGTCATTGGTCCGCACAAACGTCCTGCTACCGTAAGCCACTAGTGAATTTTTCACCTCCTCGGGGTCGATATTCACGTCGAAGTAGCCCTGCATCGCGTGTGGAGCCTCCACTAGTACCTCACCGATGTCACCAGGGGCGATAATCTCATTCTTTTCGTTCACAACACGCACTTCCACGCCTGGAAGTGCCTTAAGACGCAGCGGCACGTCAATGTCAGTGGCAATGAGGCCCCCAGCCTCGAGACAGCCGTATGTGCTTACGGTGAAAACGTCCAAGTCTGCCAGAAGTTCCACCTGATCCCTCGTCAGCTGACTGCCAATGATAAAAACAATGCGAAGCTCGCTTCCAAATTGCTGTTTAAACTTCCCCAACAGCATATGAGAGGCAGCACGCAGGATAAAACCAGGCTTTTGAAGCATTAGCCGATTTTCTGTGATGCGACCGAGTGTGAATCGCGTCATATCCTTCACGGTGCTGCTGCGATTCATGATATTGTCCACGATATTGGCATAGGCCCTCTGAAACGGCTGTGCCACACTGACAATGACGCTAGGTCGTACCAGTGGCAGGTCCTGGAATCCCTCCAGTTGCTCAGGCGGGATGCAGACACAAGCCCCCTTGCAAATTGCCTGATACAGCTCTGCAGTGAGGGCACCAGCGACGCACCAGGAGCAGAGCGACATGAACAAATCGGTATGTGTGAGCGCCTCGCCGAGGTGGGCGTAGACAGAGCTGACATTCGCCACCAAATTTCGGTGCGAAAGCATCACACCCTTTGGTGGTCCGGTTGTACCCGCTGTGAACATAATCATGGCGGTATCCTCCGCGGTGATGTCTTTCCGCGGGGGAGTTTTCTCCGGTACGTCTGCGGCAATGTTAATTGCGACTGCGTAACTGCTTTCGCCCACTTGGTCTTCAAAGCAGAACACATGCTGCAGCTGCCCCACCTCACCTATCCACCCTTTCACAGCAGCGTACGACGACGTCGCCTCGACAAACAGTACCTTGGCCTGTGTGCTCTTCAGTACCAGCTCTGCTTCCATCGGGGTGACGTTGGTCGGCAGCACCACGAAGTGGGCGCCCAGCTGCAGCGCGGCGAAATGCACCACCACCCACTCATAGCGATTCTCGCTGATGACGACGATGCGTGACCCCTTTTCAATGCCCATCGTGTGCAGGAGCGTGCGCATCGCCGCCACTTCCTCAGCGATCGACTCATACGTCGCCCACACATACCCCAACTGGCCACGCACCCACATCTTCGTTCCTAAAAAGCGCCGTGATGGCCACGCCTTCACAGCCTGATCCCATAAGTCAACGAGTGTGCTTTGTGGCCTAATCACAAGCCCTAACCGCATGTCGTTGTTCATCGACGCCCCACCTGCCACGTCCGATTCTGAGTAAAAAGTGCCGGCAACATTGGTACCGGCGCGATACGTTAAACGGAGTGCAAAGCCGCAGCAGCAGCAGAAGTTTGGTAATACCAACGCGCGCGACCACCGTTTCATTTCTTTCCTCTCTCTCTCTCTCTCTTTGCGCTTGATTTGCTCTTGTTCTTTGTTGTTCCCCCTTTCCCACGAAGTGTTTACGGAGCAGCGGTAGTAACAGCCGCAGCGGATGCGGTGGTGCTGCTGTTTGTTTGTGTTGTCACAAGCAGTGAAACAAAACAGAAAAGGCAAATAAGTAAAACACGAAGGACAGAAGAAGAAAAAAACGGCGGAAAGAGAGTTATAAGCAAGAAGTTCACAGATATAAAACACGTACACATGCATCTACACATACAGGATGGAATATATACTGCTAAACAGGCAAGTACACCCTTCTGCGCGCTTCCTCTCATTCTTTCGTTTCCTTCTATATATATATATATATATCAAGAATGACGTACATGGCTGGCAACAGAAGACCCAGCAAAGAAAACTATGGCAAAGAAACAGCATGTGGGAGGCCTTCGCGTTTACATAGACTAACGAAGCGTGAAGAGCAGGGATGCGGAAAGAAGCAGGGACACTGCGCCTCCCACTTCCTATTTACGTTCTTTCCGGCATTATCCACATTCCTTCTTCTTTCTCTCTCTCCCTCTCCCACAACAAAGAACCGTACACCCCGGAGGCGCGTACGTCAGGTCTGCTCCTCCGCCTTTCTATCATTTTTTTTTTTTTACATATCCTCGCCTTCCTCGTCTGCCTCCTCGTCCTCTGCTTCGTCCTCGGAGTCGGGTTCTGGTGGATCCTCGCCGCGACGCACCAATTTCTCCGTCGCTGGGGTCGGGTCCTGCACCTCCGTAACGTCGGCGCACTCCCCCAGCACCGGCGGGGCAAGGGTGGGGGTGAAGCTGAAGTCCGTCTTTTTGAGCCCGTTTCCGAAGTAGACGCAACCCCACCGCTTGCCGCCTTCTGCGGCAAACGCGATGGCGCCCGGCCACCGCAGAGAGCGCACCACCACCACTCGGTGCTTCTTGCTGTTGCTGTTGAGCACACGCACCGTCCACGCCGCGACCTTGACCTTCGTGACGTCATCGTCGGGTACGTCATCGTCGGTGAGGGGCTTTGGTGGCATGTCGTTGTCATTCTCGCCGTCCTCCGCAGTTTCCGCAGCCTCTTCAGGCGCCTCGTCCTCCTCATCTTCCTCATCCTCCTCATCGATCTTCGGCGCCTCGGGCACGTCAATCACAGCGTGGAGGAAGTCCGCACGAATTGGGGCGAAAAGCTCCTTCTCTTCCTCTTCCTCCGGCTCGTCCTCCTGCTCCTCTTCTTCCTCCTCGTCCATTGGCTGAGGTGTTGATGGCTCTTCTTCTTCCTCCTCCTCATCCTCCAGCTTCTCCGGTACCTTCGTCTGCCGGCCATTCTCGTAGATGTAGCCCTCTGCGTGCACCCACTGGTCGAGCTTTGACCACTGTGTCACATCGGCTTCCTCTTCGGACGCAAACCCCTTCACCGCCTGCGTGAGGGGGCGGTACTTCGCCTCCTTGGGCTTTCGTGGGTCGTCGTCCTCCCCATCATCCTCATCATCCTCTTCGGCGTCTTCCTCTGGTTCCTCAAGGGCACCCTGCGGGCAGACGTAAGTACCACTGACAATGCGACTCAGCTGCACACGAAGGTAGACGGCCTCGTTCCACTCAAACGGAGGGCTAGACACGACGGCCGCATTCAGGTCACCGCTAAACAACCGCTTGACGTGTCGCCCTGCGCAAATCTGCTGCGGTGTGACGTCGGGAAGAAGAGTCCACTCTGCTGCTGGGTGAGAGGTGACCCAAAACGAGAGGCGGTTCACGCCAACAAAGCCTGGTTCAGGCTGCACAGGCACCTCCAACTTGCGCCGCGCTGGACGAGGCATGGTATTGATCTCCTTGTACACCTTCTCACCTTCCTGCACGTAGCGGCGAGTTGAAACTACGTAGTAGTTGCTTCGTGTGCCAAGGATTTTTCCGACAAAGCGAACCTCCTCCAATTTTTTCGCCATAGCCAACATCGTGATGGATCTGTCGAGCAGAAACGCCTCCTCTTCAGTCATGCCACATCCTGCCCAAGCCCAGTAAAGGTTCTGCTGCGCAACAGATTCGTAGGGCGGAGCTGTGTGAGGCTTCACACGCGTCGTCGTCACAGTCGTGTAGGGGTCCGGCTGCTCTATTGTTGTCAGAGTTTCAGGGGGTGGACGCTCAAACAAACGTTCATTCTCCGCCAGACGCGCAAGTTCCGATGGGGGCACCGAGCAGGGCTCATTACAGGCTGGGGTGCTCTGACCGTTGACGAAACTGTGCTGCTGCAGAAGTGTAAACACCTCGTTAAACCTCGACGGATCGTTGGCAATGTCGTCTGGGTTCTCATTAAGTAGCTGCTCCATTAGCCGTGTGAGTTGGTCGTAGACACTGACACCGTCCTTGTTGGCACTCATCAGATATGCCTTGGTTCTTCCGAACATATCCAAATCTTCTACATTGGCTTGAATGGACATCTTCTTTTTTCTTTTTCAAGCTCTTTCTTACACGTTTTTGTGTGCTTCTGTAGGTCTGCGGTTGCCGCCCTGTTCCTTGTCTTTTTTTTCTATTGCTTTAATTTCCCCGCTTTCTTCGTCCTTCACGCTGCCTACAGCCTTTTTCCCCTTTTGGTCTTCACGCCCTACAGAAAATAGGAAAGACAGCAAGAATAGCTTCTTCATTTCATCCAGGATTTTTGCTCCAGCATAGAGGAGCCGATACGATCCCTCATATTTGTTTTTGTTTTTTTGGCGCACGTTTCATTTGTTTCTTGGTTTCACATCCCTTCTGCTGCCAGCATAAACTCATGTATGTGTACGTATGTTACCAAGTCTACACATTCGACAGTTTGTCACGGAGCGCCAATTCGTTGTTTAATCCTTGCAACGTACTTCGCAATCGAGGGTTCGGCTTCAAAAGCACCACTCTGTTCAAGCTGTTTCATAGCATCCTCCAGTCCCAATGCTAGAAACCTAGCCTTACATTCCTCATACGCACAAAACGAACCAATAGTGATGAGGGCAATTTTCCTCAGTCCTACCTTATCCTTTTTGAGTATCCGTAGGAGGGCCTCAACAGCGTTGTCCTTCATCAGCGCAGAGGTAAGCGAGCCTCCGTTGCGCACAAAGTTGCTTACTGCGCCCGCAGCATTTTGCCTCGTCTTCTCATCACCACTATACAAAAGTTTCACTATGACTGGAATCGATGGCCTGAGCAATTCATATAGAATGTCGCTGTGGAAGGCAGCGTTTCCAGCTGCAAAAGCAGCAAATTTTTGCGTTGTGGAATCTTCATCGCTACACCTCTCGACAAGTCCCTCAATTATTCCATGTTTTGCCAACGGTTCATAGAAATATGGTGAGTGTTTGCACAAATTCCCAAGGAGGTTGCACATCTTTCCCCGAATACCACTGTCCCTGTGCCGAAGGAGCTCTAGGAAGATATCGTACATATTCGCACTATGAATAGGAGGATAAAAATCATTGGACAGACGAGCTAACTGGGAAAGCAAATTTAGTCCATCGGAAACGAGACCGGTACTTGCTTTCTTCGAATCTAGGACCTTTTTCATTCGTTCGGGATGCAATCCACCTCCGTCCACAAACGCTTTAGCGAAAAGCGGAGATCCCATCGCTAACTTGGTGATGACTGTAAACGGTGGTCCCCAAAATGCCACCTTTGTGTAGTCAAGAGCAGAAATAAGCATTTCCATAAGACCTTCTTTATAAAGTATTTGCTGTATGGCATTTATGGTCGCATCATCGGCGCCAGAGCCATGCTTTGCTGGTTGAAACGTTGCCAATAAAATCTGGATAACTATTGTCAGATGGGCATTTACGCCCATAGTTCCTCCCCCTCTACACTCCGGCCATAATCGAAGCTGCTTAAGATAGTTCGTTCGTAATTGACGACAAACAACAGCAATCACGGAAATTGGGCCACTATTGTCCCCATTGGACGGTTCTACACAATCCATAAGAAAGCTCATCGATTGAGCCTTCTCTTGTTGATACTGAAGAGCCTGTTGAACACAACGAATTGCTGCCAAGACACCACTTGGTGACAACTCCACCTTGGGATCGCTATCACGAAGCAATCCAATAGCCATGCGAAGTAAACCTTTCGGATCGCTATCAAGAAATGATCGCGTTGCCGAATTTGTAGACTGCCGATAGACAATAGACTTGGGATCTGAAAACACAACTGAGAGCATGTGCGCAACACCGTCTAATAGCCCATAGTCCGCATAACCGTAGCTTGTCCCAAGAGCACGCGGCACCACCATCCGGTCTGCGACTCCCCTCACTCCCTCCACGACTGCGCAAAGGCCATCCATTAAAACGGCATCCGGTTCAAAAACAATAGTGTCTTTCATTTCACGATGAACAAAAGCAACCAAAAGAGCGGCAGCGGCGGCAGAGTTAAGAGCAGTAACGTTTCCAGCACCATTGGACGAATCGTAGTAGCATACAGCCGATAACCCTGTAGAGACGAAAGCAGAGACTTTATGTGCGTTTATCTGATCTGGAGAAGACAATTTTATGTGTGGAACCAACGCAGAAACTGTATGAAACGCAATAGCGGCGTACGACTGAAAACGGCTTCCCTCCGCTACTGTTTTCTCCGTTACAGAATCAATCAAAGATGCCCAAAAAGCGGAAAACGTCTTCAGCTGCGTTAGCACAGGTCCAAATCCAGTTCCCCATCGAACACATTGATAGATGATCTTCACGCACTCTTCACGAAGATCATTTCTATTTTCCATCACCTCCCGAACTATAAAGTTCAGTGCCTCCTGAGGTTTCTCAATAAGCTCCATCGCAACTTGTTGGCGTATAAGGAGGTCAACTGGTGGCAATTCACTACGTTGTTGTAAAGCATTCAATGTCTCTTGTTGTGGATGTTGCGAAGGGAATGGGAAAACAGTTCCCTTTTCTGGAAAAACCAGCGTTCGAATGAGCCTCACGGCGTGAGGAACTATTTCTACAGGCTGTTTATCATTGAGACGTTTCAGTGCAAAACGTATAATGCCTAAATGCGGGATCCGTTCTAATAAAGCAGCACTCTCTGCCGGGGATGACGTTAACTTTTCAGCGGAAGCCACTACACCTCTGAAGTATTCGATCACTTCATTAGTATTTGTTGAGGAAGAAACTTGTTCGATCGAAGAAGGACTAAACAACTCACTCTCTTTAGAGTTCAACGGACTTTCATGTAAGAGTTTAGGAGAATGAGTTGTATGCCCCGTAGTAGAGTTTTGAACGCGGTTTGGTTGAGCGTGGGGCCGAAAACACTCTAATCGCTCCATGCGTTCCTTCATCACCACGTCATGCTGTTTAATTGGTGTCTGCCATTTTCTATCCTCTTCCGCGATAGCAACAAATGGATGATTCAGCAAATGAGGCCAATTTAATCTCGCTGAAAAAGATTTCGTCAAAAGGCCTTTCAACAAGGATTTAAAGTCCGGCGATATAGGCTCCTCAAACTTAACAGGATCGTTGACGATTTGATTGATCAGTTTGTAGAGGTGATTTGTGTAGAATGGTGGTTTGCCATAGAACAGCTCGTACAGAATGCAGCCAAGAGACCATAAGTCAGCACAGTGATTATACGGTTGCTCTTGTACTAATTCTGGTGCCATGTAAAGAGGTGTACCTTTAATACTGGTGAGCACCATTGTGTTATAGCTCATAGATCTGGCAAAACCAAAATCTGCCAGCTTCACGGAGCCATTTTGCCCTATAAGAATATTCTGAGGCTTCATGTCACGGTGCATGATACGATTCGAATGCAAGTAATGAAGTGCCTGCACCAGCTGTTTCGCTATACGCTGGACAACGTCTTCTGGTAGCTTTTTGTCATCCTCTAGTATTTCAAACAGTTCGCCTTGGGCGTATTCCATCACCACAACAAATTCTTGTTGTGTTTCAAATGCCTCAAACAGAGTAATGATGTTATCATGGTTCAGCTTTGTCATGATCTCAATTTCACTGCGAAGGTTGAGAAGCTCCTTATCATTTTTCCCTTTCTTCAAGATAAACTTCATCGCTACAACATGGCCCGTACCCTTCCGCCTTGCTTTGTAAACCTTGCCAAACGACCCCTCACCCACTAGTTCAACTACAGAATAGTTCTCCATCGTAGTCCTTTTTTTTCTATTTTGGCACTCTGGAATGAGATAAAGAAAGAAAAAAAAAAGAAAGAAAAAAAAGTGCTAAGTTGCACGAGCCAGTCTACAACAGCTTGCCTCAAGCATATAAGGGCTTCTATTACCACGTTTTCATATCCTGTAGAAGTTCCTAATGCTGCCTTTCCCTTAATCTTGAGTCCCCCTCTCTCTCTTTCTCCTGCGTTGCTCTTCAATTCCTTCGTCTTCTAGTCAACAAAAAAGAATGTCTCATAGACTAGCAGTAAGCTAATCCCTTGTAAACGCATCATTTAGCAGCCTTTTCCTTTTCGGTCCCTTCCTTCTCAAGTTTCTTCGCCTCACGAATCTTCTGTTGCTCCTCATACTTCTCGTTAAACCCGGGCGCTTTTGTGACGACGATCTCAATCTTGTCAACAGTGGTGTTCCTCGTGCCCTCACCTCCGCCACGGGATGTGTTAATCTTTTTTACCACAACCATCTGCTGGTCCTTGAGCATCTCCACAACAGACACTGCTTCGTTAATAGCCTTTCCAAGAGCTGAAATACTCACCTCTTTCTCGCCATCATGCAGCAAATGCTTGGTAATGTCGACATAGAGGAACTTAGAGCCGTGGAAGCCCACACGAACGGCGTTCTTGGGACGCTCAGTGTTTTCAGCAGACATGATGGATAACTTTAAACTTGTTTCTTTTCTTGATTCTTTTTTTTTAAGTCAATGGGTTGAAAAAAAGTAGGTTGATAAGTGATTATCCAAACAGCCCCCAAAAAAATAGTCCACTTATCATACAGCTCTCGAGTTGGTCAAATTTGTATTCCATTCCATAGGCGTATCACCCGTTCAGATCGCGCTTTTGTTTCACCACATGCATTTTTTCTTACTTCGACTTTCCCTCGTGCCCAGCATTCCCTTATGTTTGCCCAGTCTTTTGCAAATGTTACTCCTTCTTTTCAGCAGCTTCGTTCTTCTTTTTCTGCTGTTCTTCGTATATGGTATCGAAATCCTTTGACTTACCAACCAATATCTCAACTTTGTCAATCAATGACGTAAAAGAAGACTTAATGTTCCCACGCGAAGTAGTGATCCTCTTAACAAGAACAAGGCCTTGATTCTTCAGTATTTCTGCAACAGCAACAGCGTCCGAAATGGCACGTCCCAATCCAGAAATAACTATTTCTGGCTCTCCTTCATGAAGACGGTGCTTAGTGAAGTCGACGTACGCGAAATTGCGACGTTTGACGCCAACACGAACCTGAATGGGTTCGGCTGCTTTTTCAGACTCAAAAGCCATTTTTCGACAGGACCAATGAAATGTGTTTTGATAATAATATCTGAGACACAAAAGAAACAGGAAGAAATAGGCTCTGTTGAGGAAGACACAATTCAGTAAGAAAAAAACAATTATCCTCGTATCACGACAGAACTCGTGTTTAATGAGCGCAGCTGCTCAAGAAACAACAACGGTGATAGGGGGAAAATATTAGCATGACACTCAGCATGTGGATCAGTGACGTCTTCTCCCTGCAGCTGATTCTAATTGTTTAAGACGCTACCAATACACCGGATATACATGGCACATAGTTCAATGATTCCAAAAATCACCCAGTGTGAAAAGGCAGCGGGCACTGAGCGCCACCTCCTTAAAGAAATCCATATATATATATACTGACCATAAAAATATCACTGAACTTCTAAGTTATGTTTGGGAACATTACTACCTAAAAACTATATTCAATTCGTGATTACGTGAGTGTTCGTCACCAAATATACAGGGCCGAAACCCAGTTATACCCAACAGTAATTAGACAA